GGGGGGGGATTGATTGAGTCTTCAATATATGTAAATAGTTCAGAAGTTCTAGAAATATACGAAAATTGCACAATTCCTTCAAAATATCTCAAACTATGAATTTCCTTTCCTGTTTCTATATTATGTTTTTATATATGGCAGTGTATCAAGAAAAAAACGACTCGTCTTTCAAACACGGATAATTCTGGACATACTTGGATTTGAAGCGTCAAATTTCGACGGTAAGCTGTAAACACAATCACTAATTAGCTTAGCTAAAAAGCTACTGAAGCTAAGGTATGATTGGTGCATCTACTCCTTTAATATATTTTATAATAGTCGTTTCATAACATTTTGACATTTTTGCTACGAAAGACAATCTGTATCGTTTGAAAAAATGGATGAAAATAGAAATTTCCGATGAAATATTCTTTTCGAGTATCTTTGCACAAAGATAAAATATGGCGTGAAAAGATTCAATTCACGGCTGTCTCCCTCTGAATGAAATGCTGTGAAAAGAGCGGCGATATTGACTTAGTGGAAAATCAACCGTCTCGGTCTAAAATTGACCTTGTCAACAAAGTGTAAAACAATATCGTCGATCGAAACATTTATGTTGTAACAGGTTGAATAAATTTCTTTCCATAGTAACAAACGAAAAAGATATTTTTCTTATAAGTTTAAAGGTGATTGTTTGTAATTCAAACGAATTTTCATTCGATCGACAGATATGTTTTGAAATTATCTGGTTGTCTATCCAGAACAGAAGGACAAAAACTTCCATTTAAATCCAATCATAAAGATTAAAAATAATTGCTCATTGTCACCCAAACCTATAATTTCTTTTAGTGTAATTTTCCGTATGTGGTTGCGTTAAAAAAAATCGCTTGCACAGTAGTCTACTAATGAGAAAAAATACCAAAAAAATCGTAAAAACTGACCTTGCTGATATTTGAAGTTCAAAAGCAATTACTTGACAGATTTACAACTAAATTACTATTAATTCACGATATACACTAAACTGTCCACTAGGTATAAATAACTGTTACAGTACAGACTGGTATTATATATAGGAACACTAATCTCAAAATGAGAACCAGTAGATTAAAGAGACTCGTCCACATAACAAAAGACTTCCATTATCATGTGTAAATATGTACTGTTATAACATGAACATAACACTTAGCCTTGACACAGTGTTGGTCTTGACCTTACACACTCGACTTCAAGTCTTACTATCGTGTAGTAGTTCTTGTAGATTATGTGTAATGACAGGTGTTGCCAGAGAGGGAAGGACATGATCGACGTTCGAATCTTCCGGATGTTACTGTGCGACTAAATTAATAAATCAATCAGTCGGCAGTTTTTGTATTCCTGTATATTTGACTGAAAAAATACAGGATTTAATATACGATGACTTGCCAGGCACGATGATATACGCCCAGCTTTTTTCCTAAGTAAGAACATTTTGCAGAACGGCAACCATCACCAGTAATTTTCAACTTCTGTTTTTATATACTCCTTGGGCAAAATTTTGTCAAAGTCCGTTAAAACATTGTAAAATGTTACCGACCCAAAAATTGAGCGCTCTTCGAAGAACAAGGGAAATAAAGTTCAACTTATCAATAAACCACATCAAATATTTTCTTGGGTTTCTTTTAATTTATCGATAGAATTCATCTTTAGGTGAAAATGAAAGTAAAAATGCCAGAATCCGTATAAAAATTGTAGTGCCTTCTAGAGTGTTTACGAGCTAAAAATTAAAGGTCAAGTGCAATATTTTTTTTAAATTGTCAGTTTTCAAAAGGGTTCATATTGGGTGATAAAAAATAGATTAACCAATTTTCGCCCAAAGTGTTGACGGGCATTTGTGGCGTTTCATTTCATGTAGGCGTATACAAATTTTTCTACAGAGATGACTTATTTGTAGCAGATCGACCTTTGGCCTTATTGTATTTCACATCAATACTATTTTATATCTTAAACAGATGGCAACAAAAGTCGATATTAACTGACAATCAGCTAAAATAACTAACATAACATGAAATTTGCAAAGAATAAGGGCTGTCTTTATTTGGCTTACATATTTTATCACTACAATCAGCGCAAATTTACGGATGAGTGCACAAGGTAATAAATCTGTTGTACATCAACAGTAAATTGTATTACAAAATAATGGTTATTATCAAATCTCAAGCAGGCTCTGAAGTTGAATAATACTATATTGATATTATTTTACTGTTTGTACATAACTGTCCAGGTAGTCGAATAATTCAAAGGTATATGTTTTAAGTACCTATATATTATTAGACGGCTAAAGGGATCAACATATCGGTCGATGTGACGTAGCCTGCCCAAGATATAAATATGGAAAAGCCTAATTTGTAATATACGTGCTTGGTTGACTACTAGTCTTTCAAGGTTTAAGCTTATATTTCGTTCCTTCAGAATAACTTGCAAACGATTTCGTGCAGCCACGAGAACAAGTACTGCTTTTTACACTTAACTGGGGACACGCGTTTAAAAACGCCAGATGTCTGAAGATCTGAAGTTTGTTATGATAATACTCAGAATGTAAATATATAAAATACTAAAGTAATATACTATTACTTTGCCTGTGTATTGGAAAATACCAACACTACCAAAAACAGTGATAAATAATATTGATATAAATTCGACCAAATTAAATAATGAATTCGTCAGATCATGGTTTAGATAATATTTATGATGTCATCCTTTGAGCTATTTATCCATTATCTAGTAGATTGTATGGGTGTTGTTAGTAGAAATCTTGATCCATCTTAGTTAACAGTTTTTTATGTCTGTTTCCTGGTGGTTTGTTTTGCCGGAGACTTAATTGATCCATCTTAGTTAACAGTTTTTTATGTCTGTTTCTTGGTGGTTTGTTTTGCCGGAGACTTGATCCATCTTAGTTAACAGTTTTTTATGTCTGTTTCCTGGTGGTTTGTTTTGCCGGAGGCTTACTTGATCCATCCTATTTAACAGTTTTTATTTTCTGGTTCCTGGTGGTTTGTTTTGCCGGAGACTTACTTGATCCATCCTATTTAACAGTTTTTATTGTCTGTTTCCTGGTGGTTTGTTTTGCAGGAGACTTACTTGATCCATCCTATTTAACAGCTTTTATTGTCTGTTTCCTGGTGGTTTGTTTTGCCGGAGACTTGATCCATCCTATTTAACAGTTTTTATTTTCTGTTTCCTGGTGGTTTGTTTTGCCGGAGACTTACTTGATCCATCCTATTTAACAGTTTTTATTGTCTGTTTCCTGGTGGTTTGTTTTGCCGGAGACTTACTTGATCCATCCTATTTAACAGTTTTTATTGTCTGTTTCCTGGTGGTTTGTTTTGCCGGAGACTTACTTGATTCATCCTATTTAACAGTTTTTTATGTCTGTTTCCTGGTGGTTTGTTTCACTTTCATTGACACCCGAAAAAAAAACAGAACCACGTCTTGGACATAAAATATAATTAATATATAGTTGGACATATCAACTCAATTTGAGGTGAAGGCCTTGAGAGAGAAGCATTTAAAGTTTTAAAACGATTGCAACAGTTCCTTTAATATGCACACGGCATCCCCAAATGCGAAATTATGTGAATCGCTTTTATAAGTCCCACTTCAACTTAAGACTATGAACAAATGCTTGTGTGTGCGCGTAACTAAAGCTGTCTGCTTAGAGGTAAATATATCTACGCATGCGTATTTACGTGACCATTCAAAATTGCTAGAGCGCAACGGGTTCGTTAACTACACTCTGCTAGATGAAAATCTTGTTGACTGATTATATCTGATTTTACGAAGTAAGATCTAAAGATTTAAAACATATAGAGAGAAGAGACGCTGCAAATAGCCTCAAAGCTTAATCAAACTGATCTATCTTTTGTGAATATTGTTGTAACAATTTGCTCTCTTTTCACGACGATTACTGCGTAGTAGCAGCGTTTATTGTAACATTTATTTGTCCTCTGCAGACGAAGAATTACTATCCAACAAATTCAATTCCATGGGTGCGGCCAATTTGAATTGTTACTACGCATGCGTAGATAAATTTACCTCTATGCAGATAGTTTTAGCTACGCGAACACACAAGCATTTGTTCATTCGTGGAAAAAATTATCAAACACGTTTGATTTTCAACTTTTAGCCACGAATAACAAAAATCTTGCATAAATTTCCCCGCACACGGAAGCTATCGCCTTTGCCTTAAGGAGAAGTGCACGGATGAATTCTGCCTGAGCTGATGGCTCGTTTGTCAGCCGGACTTTAGGGATTGAGATACAGCACTGCAAATGCGCCAATACTGAATATCCTTCACCAATTGAACCTGTTTATGTTGCATGCAACTGCTGCATGGATTGAAAAAACATTTTCGTCTTTGCTAGTGTATCATCCTAGAAAATGGCTGCATTCGTTAACGTATGTGATACATGAAAGGTTGTTATTGCTATTAAGGTATAAGACGCTATTTGTAATAGCTTGACAGATGTTTAAAACCCTCCGCCGGAAGTCCTGAGACCACACAAATCCCTTATATTCTTGGTCACAGCGCAAACACCCCGGGGACCCAGAATATTACAATGAGTCTCTTTTTTTCGAATGAAAAGGTCAATTCAATTGGAAAAAGATTACAAAGATTTATTTATTAACTATTATTATGACTGTGACGCTCTATGGATGTAGTAAACATGACTGAAGAAACGAGTCAGGTGATAAATATAAATTGTCATGAATCTAGTGCAATTTTATGTTAGACAAAAAACGTAGACCTAATACTCCAATGATAGGCTTTTGGTTAGTCCTTTTAACCGGTGAATACCAAAATCGTTCATAATAATCATTCAAAAAGCTGTATCAAATCGCCGAATTAAGAAATAAGAAGATATATATAGAGAAAATATAAAAAATATAATTAGAAAACAGTTTCCATTTTTTATTATCATCAAAAGTTTCTTCATATACAGTGTTTTAAGTCACAAAACCTCTTCATTGTGCTTTATAAAGCTGATATTGTAAGCTCATGGAAATGCACATGGTGTGATAAAACGGTTGTAATAAAGACAAATCTCGAAGAAAATTGCATTCCTAACTGGTTACACGATGTTATGTTGTAAATGGACTCTGATTCACTCGAAGAATCCTTATAACATACTACAGTGCCATGTATTAAACTGTAAGAGTCACAGTTCCCAATTGAACTTAATCTTATCTCAAAGCCAATAAGTCTTCCAGCAACTGAAAAAAAAATTTTTTCATTTAATTGTACAGCTGAATGACTACACAATGAATTTTACGTTCATGTTCTGCTTTGATCAGTCTGAAAGTTTGAAAGTGTTTGAAATTCCCTGTTTGTACATGAATGAAAAGTGTACACTAATCTCGCTGTCCAAGATGCTCATCAAAATTCATATGTATAATCAGTCTTTGTATTCGTTATAATGGTACTTACGGGAAGCCGATTCATATCAATATGTACAATTCGTCTTTGTATTCATTATAATGGTACTTACGGGAACCCAATTCATATCAATATGTATAATTCGTCTTTGTATTCGTTATACTAGTACTTACGGGAATCCAATCGCAATCCATGTAATATGTAAAAATTATCTTTGTATTCTTACAATGACACTTACAGTTAGCTCTATTATATATAGTAATTTGTTTGAAGTTGTATAATGACAAAAGGTCAACACACCACCATTCCTCGCCGACGTCATCAGTGTGACAGATATTTGTAAAATTGCCATCATTACCCATACACGAACCTCTTCCAGTATGTAGGGAACTCATCTTTGTCGGTTTGTGTAAAGCCACGTTATCTAGATTTTCACCTGCAAAACAGCAATTCTGCACATTACAAACAGCGTAAACAAGGTAGCAGATGAAGACCGTAACAAACAATTACATTTAAAATCTTATTTAATCAAAAGATTCACCCGTTCAATCGCTCCTTGGTCTCAGAAATGGGAATTGTTCAGGGGTCAAGGGACATCCCCAAGGAAAATTCAGCTTTTGGGGTAACTTCAGCTTAATCAGGTGTTTAATATAGTAGCTGTTTACAAACAGTTTATGATATTGGGACTTTAATCACGGTAAAGATTAAGGCACGACTAATTTTTCTCATGTTGGTGACTCGTGTTTTCAGCAATGTAACATATCCTAAAAGCACATTCTCGTGAAACCCGTTGGGCGAAAAAAATACACCTTGCCTCACTAGACTTATTTGGGACTATATAACCGAAGAAATGTGCATGTTTTTCAAGATCCTCCGATAAGGATGCCAAGTTGGCAAACCCAGTTGCAAAGCAGCATCTGATATTGTAGAAAGCTCAGATCTATAATTATCATACGGGTTATCTTATTCTTTGGGTACTACAGCGTTGATAGGGGGTGGTTTTTGCTTTTTTTCAACCCTGGTATAATGAACTGTCACTTAATATAATCGATACTTTTCTCATTATCTCTGCTCCTTCTTTGCTTTTGAGAAGTAATTCTGTTGATTTTATAAGATTAATGAAATAAATGAATTAATGATATAATACATAGCTCTATTTGCCCTAATTACCTGTATATGGTATATAGTGTAAAACACCAATATCAGTAGATGGATATAAGCATCCTGGAATGGTCTCGTACAAATAACATTCTTTACGTATCTCTTGGTAAGCGAATGTAGAACACTGACTATCTTCTGAGCAAAGAGCCATACAATGAATTATTCCATTCACCATAACTTCTTTATAATATCTATCTGAAAGCGAATCTCTGTTAAACACTACAAAATGCACAGATTTTGTGCTCGAAACTACACAGATCTGAATTGAACAAAGGAAGAATCTCAGAATAGGCCACATTTTCTAGTATTGTGTGAAGAAACTATGAATCTAACTCTTATATGACATCGAGAACATTTGAACATTTATTGATTGGAAAACTATTTTTGCGTAAAAACTTTCTTGAAATCAATGAATAATTCAATGAAAGCTTTTTGATAAAATTGCATTGATCTACAAAAGGTGTCATATTAAAGAACAAATAAAATTATGCAATCAGATCTTCTTTTCTGCAATACGTGAACAAATCTTCCCCATAGATCATATTCACCAGCATGCCTAGTCCGAAACATCTGCCTTTATTCCAGCGAATGATTGATATTTTGACAGAGGGGGCAGCCCCAAAAGTAAGTTTTTCGAGCAAAAATCCCATAACTAGGTTAGAAATCCAGGCAACCTCAGATATTTCGCAAGTTTTTGTTATAATTGTTATAATGGTTTACATCATTGTTAGCAATATTTATCACCTAAATATATATTTTTGCATTTTTTATCATAACTTTCATCTTACTTTATATATCCCCAAACCAAGTTTGACTTATTTGCATAATTTGATCCCCACATTTCACGCTAGCATATACAGTTTCCTCCTGTTACATTCGCTGTACATTCCCTTTCTAACCTCAAGTTATTTTCATAGAATCCCAAATGGTCAACTAAACCAACATCATGTACACTTCAACGGCCAAGTCACCAAGCTATCGAACCAAACCCCTAAACGAGCCCGAAGTTCAAACGTTCTCGTAGTTCTCGTCCTCCCCTTCCACGCCATCTGAATCTTCATCGCGTGATCCAGGATTCGCTAACCTTTCTTCCTTCTGTGCGTTTTTGGACCAGCAAACCACACCTCAGTTTCCATCCAAGTCAAACCAGATCTCAGTCCGTTCCCAATGCTACAACCAGTACCAATCACCTCGTCGACAAACAGTATATCCGCTACCAAACCTTTTTATCACCAAACCAAGGACAAATCATTATGGAATCTACCTGCTCTGAAGAAATCTAATTATTTTAATTATTGGATCCTCTAACCTGAATCGAATTACCAAACCAGTTCAGACACTGAAATACATTCTTACCCCGGTGCCCAAATCCATCACATAGAGTCACATCCTTGAATCATACAACCATTATCCCAAACCTACTACCGTTATTCTTCTTGTAGGCCTCAACAACCGTGATCAGCTACCAAAGGCCTCTTTTAACCAGAAATTAATCAATACAGTCAACAAAACCTTCCCATACTCCAGGATCATCTTCACAGGTATACCCATCTCAAATAAAATCTAGAAGAAAGCACAACAGAACCTCGGCACCCTCAACAACATGTTGATGGAGTCCAATACCAGCAGAGCAACAATCTTACGACCCTACGAAGAAGAATTCAAACCAATTGATAATCTTCATTGGTTTCAAGAAACAGCTAACAGTATTTATCATACGAAACTTCGCATCTTGCCTAGCTCCGTATAGTCGCATACGAAACTTCGCATCTTGCCTAGCTCCATATAGTCGCAGATCTAGACAGAACCTAATCACAAGCCATCTTGTCCAAGGCTACAGCTTGAATGATAAAATATGCATCAAATTAAATATTATAACGTCTGAATGATATCAATAGATTCTCAAATGCTCAAAATATTCCCAATTTTAACCGTATGTATTTACTGAAGAAGTTGCAATACCGAACTATTTTTAAGAGTGGAAGCGTATCTGAGGTACGAAACTAGAAACCGGAAAGACGATGAGGAGGATTTTTAAAGACAGTTCGCACCATAATGAGTTATTTCGTCCTCATTAACCATAGATATCCTATAAATAACTAGATGGAACGTCATAGCGAAGAGCCAATGAGAGCAGTGAAGAACCGGAAGTCAGCCATTAAGCTACCAACGTCTCGCGTTAGGCCTATTGACGTCGTGTTTTTCTACAAGTTTTACTATTAAATATGCCCGGCTGTTCGGCGATAAATTGTTCAATTAGATCTGGAAGAGAGAACATCCCACAGGGAATTACATTTCACAGGTAAAAGCTGTTTTTTTTTATGATGAAAAAACTTTTGAAAGGAAAAAAAAACCGCAATTGAAGCAAGGTCAAATAACTTGAATGTATGACCTTTTCAATAGGGGTGAAACCTTCACGGTACGACTTTTGTTCCGTATCGGTTCATTTGGGTCCACGGCACTTATGTATTATCAGCTTCTGGAGTAGAACAAAATTATACACGTGTAATCCACCGATTTTGTCAGGTTTCTACCGATTTTGAATGTCCTCAACCGACATACCGGCGGGAGATCTACCGATTCCCGTGTCCGCATTTTAACCATGAATTAATAAAAATAAATAGTAAATGAAAGTGTTTTGATTCTATCAATCACAAAATTCTACTGGATTAACTGAAAAAATACTTCCCCTCTTTTACTGCCATGTTTACTGCCCTGACATCATGTGCTCAATGTATTTTACTACTGCCCCAGAAATGCCATTTTAGCCAACATTACTTTTTTAAAAACCCACCTTTCCTTCATCTTTAGTAACTTACAACTTATAGAACTAATTATGCTTATTTGTATTTCAGATATCCTTTAAAAGATCCAGAAAGACTCAAGAAGTGGCTGGTAAATTTGAAGAGAGTTGATTTTGAACCAACTAAGAACACTATTTTGTGTTCCAGACATTTTGAGGAACAATGTTTTTTGAAAACTCTTGAGCGTACCTACCTTAAAGATGATGCTGTACCAACAATATTTGATTTTCCTGATCACTTAATGAAGGTGAGCATTATCAAAACCTTCACTAAATTACTAAGATACTTTACTCACCTTCTTTACTCTTAATCGGTTTCATTAATTCTAATTTCAAAACAGGACAGCTTGTACCTAAATAAGCCTCAAATTGCCTGCATATGCTTATTAAAGTGATTGTTCACCAAATACAAATCAAATCATTTTCCTGACAAAATCATCCACAATTAATCTTGGATAATACATTAAGCATGGATTAATTACATTTCTTAAGAACAAATTCTAGTTACTATGCATACATGCAGAATACTGGTAAAACTACCCATCATCACTCTCCTTTCCTCCTTACAAATATATTAATACCTACCATATTGTTGACATTGCAGAAACAAGTAGAGAGAAAGCCACCAGCTCTCAGACAAGAAGAAAATCTACAAACCTGTAGTGATATTGATACCATCCCTGTTGAACAAAAACATAATTATTACAAAAGCGGTTCTCCCAGAAAATTAAAAAGAAAGATCAATGAAGCTGAAGATAGAATTATAATTCTTAAAAAGAAACTTAAATCAAGTAACCAAACTAGAGACAGAGTAAAGAAGAAAGTGTCAAGTTTACAATCTGTAGTTGATGCCCTAAGAAAAGAGAAACTAATATCAGATACTTGTTCTGTTATTTTAGAGGACATATTTTCTGGAACATCACTAGAAGTTATGAAACAGATTGTTAGTGGCAAACCATCAAAAAAGTACTCGTCAGAGTTGAAATCATTTGCAATGACTATGTTCAACAGACTTTCCAGTTATCCCTGCCTCATCCTAAACAAATCAGAAAGTGGTATTCTTCCGTCTCTGCTGACCCAGGCTTCACAAAACCATCATTTGATGCCCTGAAAGTAAAGGTAGAAGAAGGTGCAGCTAATGGTGCAGGTAATATGCGCTCTGACATTGGATGAAATGGCAATAAAGAAGCATGTAGAATGGAATGGCAAGTCATTTTCTGGTTATGTTGATATTGGGAATGGCACTTCTGATTCAGATTCATCTCCTACAGCTAAAGATGCTTTAGTCTTCATGGTTGTCTCTCTAAACGACAGATGGAAGGTACCAATAGCCTATTCTTTATTGATGGTTTGACTGGAGAAGAAAAAGCCAATATTGTAAGAGAATCGCTGTCCAGACTTGCAGATATAGGTGTCAAAATAACATCTGTTACTTGTGATGGTCCTTCATCCCATTTTACCATGTTTCGATCCTTGGGAACGAAGATAGAAAGTTTTTCAATAGACACACATTTTCCCTACCCTACATTTCCTGAACAGCAAGTGTATGTGATGTTTGATATTTGTCATATGCTTAAATTGGTAAGAAACACTTTGGCTGATGGTGGCATCATAGTAAATAGCAAGGGAGAGAAAATAGAATGGCGTTTTATAGAAGAACTTCATAAACTTCAGGAAAATGAAGGTCTGCGATTGGCCAATAAAATTAAAAAAGCCCACATTACAATTGGAAGCAGCAGAAAATGAAGGTCAACCTTGCAGCTCAAGTATTTAGTTCATCTGTAGCAGATGCAATCCAATATTGCCATGAAGTGCTAAAACTTACTGAAGGTACAATCGAATTTATTCGCATAATTGACAGACTCTTTGACTTACTTAATTCGAGAACACCATACCAAAAAGGTTTTAAATCGCCCTTGAGAGTTAGTAATATAGACTTTTGGCAACCATTTTTGAATGAAGCATTCACCTATATTTACAACTTAACAGATACTAATAAAAACAAGATGATCCATTCAAGAAGGAAAACTGGTTTCATTGGTTTTTTAGTTGGAATTAAAAGCATCCAAGGTTTAGTAAATGATCTTTTGATGGGCCCAACTCCTGAACTGAATTATATATTAACCTACAAGCTAAGCCAGGATCATATTGAATTGATTTTTGGTGCCATAAGAGCTGCAGGTGGATTTAATAACAATCCAACTACCATACAGTTTACAGCAGCATATAAAAGACTTCTATTTAGAGGAACACAAATGATTGGAGGAAAAGGAAATTGTGTTAACGATTCACCTACAAATATTTTATCATCAATTTCCGACATGTACAGTAATAATGGTATCACCCGCACAAAACCAGACATTGCCTTCCTAAAAAAATACGGATTGAACGCTGATGATCCAGCTCTTCCAGATGAAATTCCACCAAACTTATTTACATGTTCTGAATATAAGGAGGCTGCCATTTCGTATATTGCTGGCTATGTTGTCAAAATGGTTCGCAGGGAAATTAAATGTGTTGATTGTTCTTTAGCACTTGAAGATGCACGTACAAATAGGGAAATTTCAGTAAACAGCTTTGTTAAATTTAAAGATAGGGGTGGATTATGTATTCCTTCATCCAGTGTTTTAAAAGTATGTTATGCTACAGAAAAATGTTTGTCTTCAATACTTTCTTCTAATAATTTACCACAAGGACAATTTATAAGTGCTGTATCAACATTTGTTCTAGCTAACCTTAATATAAAATTAATCTTTACTTGTTTGGATGAACATAATTTGCAATATTCTTTTGAAGAAAATCACATTTTAAGATTGATAAAATGCATTTGTAATAAATATTCTAAAATAAAATTGCATCATGCTGCAAAAACCCTTAATGAAAAAAACAGTGAACCCAAAATAAGGAAGAAATTATCAAAACTCATATTATTTAAGCATGAATAGATTAATGAGATTTGATTTTGTATCATTGAAACAATTTTATTATTCCCTATTTTTTCTGTTTGATTTTTAATGACTTTAATTCTACCTAACAGGAAATTGTCCGAAATAAACTTTCTTCTACTTTGGAGTGTGATTTTAGTTACATTCAGTAGCCTATTCAGTAATGTCAGAAAGTGGAACGATCGTATCTATCTTGATTTTTTTTTACTAAAATTTCTGAACGTTGATCATTCAATGTATCTTATTTCATATTTAATTTTTTTTTTTTTGAAATGTGAAATAAATTGCATAAAAGTGTGTTTTTCTTGTATTATTATCAAAATTATTGCACTTCCCTATTGACGTTTTGTTATGGCTTGGTAGCTTAATGGCTGACTTCCGGTTCTTCACAGCACCGACGCAAGCTTCTCTCCAGTCTATATATAGCTCAGTGTCATTAACATTACTGTGCTTACATTTTTATGTTTATTCACTTAGTATTTATCAAATAAAATTCATTCTTTTCATATGTGTCTTTAAAAACACCATGTTTAATTAAGTTTTACAGTCTGTTTTACTGATTTATTTCCCTTAATTTTATTGATCGCTCGAACGTACCTGCCCCTGAATATTTCATTCATTGTACACAATAATATATTATTATATTTATGATAAGGTTTCAGAAACAAGCCGAGGCTTTTTTTAATCCATCACCAAATTTAATTTACAAAAATACACAGAATTCATTAGAGAATATCAATATGCATATTATCATTATTTTTCAGGCAGAGTTAGCAGTCTTCGGTCACCCGATTCGCCTCTTATTAATTGATTCTTTCAAGAAGTCGTTAGTGGCTATTACAGCTTATAACATAACAAAGGCGCCTTTCCGCCCTTCGGTAGTCTTCGGCTGTGAAAAGATGCACCCGTCGTTTCGTCTCACTTCCGATATTAATGTTTACGCTTGAACTATTTTAAACATGGCTGGTCAATAGGTCAGGGTAATGTCTCCGATAGGTAGAATTTCTCTGTTGATCAGGATGAGTATTTATTTGTTGTTGTTGTTGCAAAATTCTCACACCCTTTCAGCATTCAATCTTAGACCGTGGACTTATTCCGACACCGAAGGTAGCCAACTTAAATTATCTACGACTATCCATTGAACCATTTCAACGAAATCTTAGCTACGAATATTTTTTTCTTATTATTAAAAGCATTTGAGAGTATGAAAAGCCTAATCTCACAAAAGTGATACGTGAAGCGTCAAACTTACTTAAGAAAGACGATAGCATTGTCATTAAAAAAAAATGACAAAGGCTCATGTTGTGTTATTCTGAATAGTGAGGATTACGTTTCAGAAGCAGAGAATCACCTGAATAATCCTAAACATTATGCCATTTTACCGAAACCAATTTTCAAAGAAACTGCTAATATGATTAACAATATTCTTGTCGATTTAGTCAAAACAATATGACTATCTGTCTGCCAAACCTGATTGTAGTGAGAGACATTTGTACACTTTGCCTAAGATCCAACCAAGGAGTGGTTTATCTTGAATAAAATCCCTAAAGGCCGCCCGATTAAATCTGACTGTGGTAGTGAGTCATATGCAGTGTCAGAATACATCGATCATTTCTTACTACCTCTAGCATGTCAACATCGCGCCTACCTTAAAGACACAACCGATTTTGTCAATAAAATAAAAAATCTTCGATAGTTCATGCCCACTATAAGAGCCCTTCAAGAGAAATTTCCCCATGTCTACAAGCAGAAAATGATATTGCATAATATTCAAAAAAATAAGAAATAAGAATGATAATATTGTTCATAGTAAACTAAAAACAATCAGTACATAACAGACACTGTACTTCTCGCCAAGAATCAGAACAGAAGAAAACCCAGTATCAGGACCCTAAATCCCAATTTCTGAATTTTAAAGTATCTGTTCCACCCTAGGTCTGTACATTTGGGAGAATCAAACCCTCCCTTCCCCGAAATCCAAATATATTGATTCATGGCCTTGATTGCGCATTTGCACATTCTCCAAAAAGGATGCCAAGTTGACGAAACCGGTTTCAAAGACATGTTCGGTATTATGGAAAGATATTAACTTTTCATGGTAAGTTTTATTTATAGTCTTATTCTAACCAGTAAAGCTCGTTATAACCCCGTTAGACCGGACTACAACATTCTGCGTTCTTACGGCGACTATAAATTTAGTTGGTCGCCGCAAACACGAGAAACAGTTGCTATCAACCTACGACCATATTGTGTTACAAATATACTCTACGAGCGGTGATGCACTTCAGTTTTAGACATTTTCTATTCCGCGATCTCCAAAATTTATGATAAGCCTTTAATAGAAGAAGATTCTTTTGGCGAGCATGCAGTGACGTTTCTAGGAAACATCATGTGAGGGGATGAGCAGGGGTGACATAATTTAAAAATTAAACGAGTCTTACTGGAACTGTTGATGTTCTTTGTAGTTACCACCCTTGTGTTTGAGTTCTTCATTATAATCACGAACATCTGACTTTGAAGAATGGCGATTAGGAGCTGTGACACTGTGGCACTGTGAAGACGCCCAAAAGCATGGCAATCCAAATCAATTCTGTGTCTAATTCGATTCTGATCAGATACTAAAAAGGGTACCTATACAGCAGAAAACTTCAAGGCAGCTCAAATAAACAAGGTGTATCAATTAATAATATTCAATTCAAAAATTCATGAATTGTGAATCAAAATATTCTGAAAACCCAAAAACAACAAATTTTTTATTCACATTGCCAAAATATATGATAGTTAAATTAAATTGAGTAAAGCATGAGTAAACAAATTCAAAAAATTGCACAGGCGTAATAATAATAAAGCGTGGTATACTAAAAAGATATTGGCAGCTTTGACTGGCAATTGTGGACGGACGGACGGACGGACGGACATGGGTGACGGCAATATACGCCCCCCATTTCATGTGGGCGTATAAAAAAAGATTATTAAATAAAGCATGAGTATACAAACTCAAAAACTTGCAGGGACATAATAATAATTATCAAAACGTTTTATTTTACAATAGGTTCAATATATAAACTAAATACAATGTATAACAAAAGTAGAGCCACACGTGGCACAGGTTGGGTTTTTGCTAATGTCCCAATTTGCAACGGAATATGAAAAAAGCTTCTAAGCTAAGAAAGGCATGTGCCAGAGCAGTCAGAAGACGGAAATTTCGCTTTGAAAAGGAGGAGGTCAAGTAGAGATCGGACATAAAATAATGAAAGTATTCATGGTTATCCCATACAATAATCTTTGAAATAAACAAATAACATTAACAAGGTCAACAAAGGAAGATCAAAAATTGACAATTCAAAAATACTAAAACCTGTTCCTTTTTCTAACGAAGTAAAAAAGCCAAATCAGTAACGTATCAGTGTGAAAAGTCCAGTTTTTGAACAAATCTATTATGTTGGGAGTTATGCTCCGACTCAGAAATGTAAATAAAAAATGTAATTTAGAATTTCTTGGTATAGTTTGAATCATATTTGTTATAGATCATACTGAACATGAACTGAACAGAAAACAATTAAATTTGATCAAAATCGGTCAAACAGAAGTGAATTAATTTTTTGTCTGTACCATTTCGTAGACATGGACTGTCTTTACACCAAAAATTTCAAATCATTCAGACGAAAAGCCGTGAAAAAAAATTCCTCTAAAGATTCAAATTCAGGCTAAAAAGGTGCGGAAAAGGCCTAGAGGAATAGAGGCTGATGTTTCGATTTCGTATTTATATTAGTACGATGGTTGTAAGCTGTGGGATTATCGCTGCATTAGAAAATAAAGAACAAAATGCCGTCGGCCACTGCAATGTATGTATTCATTTTCTACTGTGCATTGTGTATGCTAAAATAATGTGTTTTAATTACGTCCTCCTTCTCTCCACTTCGATGCGTTTTAGGGTGTGAGGTCATCTTCGGGTAATATTAAATAATTTCACCAAGTTTGTCTAAAAATTGATATTTTTCATATTTACCTCCATCAGAAAGACAGCTGCTTTAATAAGACAATTATACTAAGACTATCTTTGGAATGCATCTTTCAACTTTTGTTTGGCTTGTTCCATTTGAAAAGGTGGCACAAAAACATTATTTTCTAAATTACGTAAATTTTCTTCTAATGAAACCTCCATCGAGTTAAACATTAAGAAATAGTCATGACTGAATCTACATTTTTCTTGCATCTGTTTGGCTAGATCTAACATTTCATGAAAATTATCCAATTTATTTTTACCTATTTCATTGTCGTCAGTGTAAATCTGCTTTACACAAGTTTGATGGTCACCCTTAGGTGACATCTGTTGTGAGTCCAGTCTTGGTGATTTAATGATTTCACCTTGGTGGAATTCTTCATCAGTCGGTCTGGAATGAGTTTGCCTGTGATAATCAAGTACCATTTCTTCCTGAGAAATTTGAGAAACACAGGTTTGCTGATGTGATGACACATAAGGTAAACCTAAAACAGATTTAAAAACAGATTTAAAAGAGGAATATTTGCAAGACAATTAGCGGTAGGAAGTTTACAACTAATACTTCTTCCACTTTATTACCTACTACGTGTAGTTACCAAGTAACATGATTTACAACAAAAATACTTCATCATATAAGTGTCTTCCTGTCAGGGCTAATTCCCATGTTCATTGGCAAAATGTATAATAATATATAACGTAGGTTTTCATCCACAGGGACCTATCCCCAATTGGGAACATTTGCACTTTTCTTTGGGGATATGTGTCACAGACTATGAAAAACTACTATCAAATTTCTATAATTATACACATCATCTCATATGACTACACTATATCCTCCAGCTATTATTGAGTACATTTTGCACTCCACACACCAGAGGCCTGATATTAAATCCTAGTTTCACTTTCAATATCTGGGGACATCGTTTTCATCGAAAATATGATTTTGGAACACATACAAAAGGGACTATGTAGAGTAATAAATAAAAGTAAGGCGCTCGAGAGGTGTAAAATAATCTTGATTAGAATACTTACATGAATTAACCTTTTGACAAATTTTGGTGACGACTTCACAACGAAACATGTGCAGCCCAATATATACGTCTCTAGATGGGTGAATCTGTTTCACGTCAGCATATTTACGTTTCGACATGCTCAACTCCATGCATATTCCATCCTCATTCTTTGACAGCCGAACAGTACCAGAATATTTTTTTATTTTTCTGAATAAATATCCCGACGGTTTTTTGTTCGTAGGTTTGTCGTTGGACAGGTAAATTTCAAGAGTCCAATAATGTGCATCATCAGCACCTCTGATGGTCACTTCCACATCTTCTGTGGCAGTCAAGGGGGTTTCCACGTAACATAAGCTGTAAGATGAATAAGATTTGTCCAAAGACAATACATCACCATTTGTTTCTCCGTCTTGTGGTTTTATGAATTGTTCACCTGTGAATGATATTAGCTCGTTTTAGTCTAAGATTAAAAAAATTACAACTGTAGGCAAAATAACACACGCTCACTTAAAATAACCAAAATTAGGAAGAAATATTTCACCTGGACTGATCATATATTTCTTAAAAAGAAAAAAATTTAAGTGTATTATCGGGGACACTGTTACTATCAATATGCACTATTCTACTTTTCAATCCAACGTTTGTGGTTCTTGCAATTCCACGTCATTAATCGCTAAATATAAAGCATACGAAAGGAACAAAGCATAGAACAGCATACCGGTACATCATTTAACAAAATACGTATAGCCGTACATTGCATGGGTATTAGGTATTTTGATGTACAAGTTTATTGTATCCATACTTTATTGGTCAGTTGAATTATGATATGACACATCATTTTGTGCTTTCTATGGACGTTTATACACCAAGTGTTTAACCGCTAGTTTCTGGAAGGAATAGAGTTATCGATGAATTATATATGGCTTCTTACCTGGGACAGAAAAAGCCAGGTTACCAAATCTTATATCAAAAAACGGTTTAACAGTATCTGTTTTGTGATTAGGAAATGAACACTTGTGTGTTTTGTCATCTATTGTCAATATCATACCGTCTTCTTTAAGTTCAATTTCTCCTTTTCCGTTTTCTTTTTTACATCGTACTTTTGTTTTCTGTATTTCTGTTCCTGTAAAAGTAACAAGTGTATGGTGGTCCATGAGCGCCATAGCTGTTTTAATTATTTATGAAACAAATATTCTTTTTAATTTGAATTCATTTTTGTTTCACTTTCATTTTGATTTTAAATTCATTTTACTTTCATTTCATTTTTACTTTTTGCTAGTGTCCAGATTATCCAGTCACACTTTCTATCATTCATGCAATGACGTCATTGCATACAAGTGTGAGCAGAAGATATTTCCCTTGAATGTGCTCTTGCGAGTAACCTCCTCCTTAACAGAAATAGCACCACATGTAGTGTTTTGTCACAAGTTCTTTAGTTAAAATATATAAAATAATATCTCAATCTCCATAATTAATACCACAAACTCACAGGTAGGCCTTAAACTCGAGCAAATATGTCTAAACGAAAATGGACAGATTTTAAGGCCCAAATTGCCAAACGTAGAAACCAAAGGGCAAGGGTACTAGTGATGGCGAAACCTTGGAATATTTAACTGTTCAAAGACTCTCAGAACAGGGTAAATGTCGAGGGTAAATGTCAAAAATATCGCCGTCTTGGTCCCCTCACTATGGTGGAATTTAACGGGGAGATGTCATTAGATAGCATTAAGGCTGCTTGTCAAAAACATTTTGATATTCCATCTTCTTACAAATGTGATATCATATTCATGGCAGGAGATCGAGGGCCATCTTTCTCAAATATTGATCAGATCAAATCATTTAAATTACTTCACATCATATTCGTTGAATCTTCTCAGACTGACATGAACACAACAAATGAACATAATAGGAATATGCCTTCTTGTAGTGGTATTTCTACTAATAAACCTGTCGGCACAAATATTTTGTCAGCATCTGTTGCACGACCGCAAGCTTTCCCTGCCTCCATTTCCCTTGCAAGCATGCTGAATATTGGGAAATTAATACCCCCAGCACCCATAGAAAAGGAGAGTTTAATTCTCTCCTTAGAGGAATTTCTAATTGGCGGGCAGCAAAAGTCTGGATTCGACGACACATTATAATACAATGCGTATCTGGTGATACTATAGGCCTACCCACAGCTCAACATGTTCCGAGAGTCTTTGTATGTACCTTTAAATATTCCACGGTTTTGCCAATACCGGTAACCCTCAATATCAACTACAAGAACTTGTGAAAAAACACCAAAACACTACATGTGGTGCTATTTCCGTTAAAGGGGAGGTTACTCGCACGAGCACATTCAAGGAGAATTACTCCTGCTAACACTTGGATGATAGACAAAAGTGTGACTGGATAATCTGGACACTATGGCGCAGTAAATGAAGAAGAATTTTGTTTTGAAAACGAAAATGAAAGTAAAAGTAAAATGATTTTAAAAACAAAACGAAAGTGAAAGTAAAATAAAAAGTGAAATGAAAGTAAAAGTAAAATTATTTTAAAAACAAAACGAAAGTGAAATAAAAAGTAAAATGATTTTAAAAACAAAACGAAAGTGAAATAAAAAGTAAAAACGAAATGAAAGTAAAATGAATTTAAAAACAAAATGAAAGTAAAATAAAAAACGAAATGAAAATAAAACGAATTTAAAAACAAAATGAAAGTAAAACGAATTTAAAAACAAAATGAACGTAAAATAAAAAACGAAATGAAAGTAAAATGAATTTAAAAACAAAATGAAAGTGAAATAAAAATGAATTCAAATTCAAAAGAAAGGTATTTTCATAAATAAAATAATAAAACCATAAATAAAAACCATAATAAAAACCATACAAGTGGTTGCCTAGCAAGATACGTCCACTTCCCTGATAAATTAAGGGCGTATCAAGGGCAGTCACCAATCTGTGTCAAATCGTACCAAAAATCTAACTTGTCAAAGATATTGTTGATTTAAACCAACACAAATTCTGACATAAACTGTCAACTCTATCGCATAAACAAGCCACATTTAACACTTAATGTATTATCAAAATCAGATGAAATCTTTATAGACTCTATAGCATTCATGAACAAATTTGGACGTCTTTTTTCAGTCAAAGGCCATAACTCAAAATCTGTTTAACGAAAAATCATTAAATTCGACTTGACCAAGATCTTATCAATATAAATAATCACACACATTTCATTAGACGAAACCGCAGTCTGTATTGAGTTTACAAACAAAGTTTGACGCAATTTTTACTAACACAAGGGCAATAACTCAAAAATCATATATTGAAAAATCGCCATATTCGAACTTGACCAAGATCTCATTGTTTTAGATGATCACAGCGAATTTCATTAAAATCAGATGCAAACTGAAAACATGAAAAAAGTTTTACACTAAATTTCATTAATATCTGAAGTCAAGACACTGATATTTAGATCATCTGACTCGGGATAGTTGGGCAGCTCAGAATGGTAAAGGAGATTATGCAGTTGAATTAGTGGACGAAATAGTTGATAAATTGAAGAAACGTAACAAACTGATAAAATTGGCAGATCGTTCCGAATTTCGTTGGGAAACTACCCGCCAGTATGAAACTAAACCCCATAGCAACGATAGTGATGAGGCTGAAAGAGGTGTCATGCAACTCAAGAAACGACATATAGTGCAGTGTACAACTATGGTGGAAATCAACTTAGTTCAGGTAATGGCGGTGGTCGACCTACTACTCAACAACCTAAATTTCGTCCTCAAAGAAGTCAGTATACAGTGGATGTTGCTTCGTTTGCGGTGAAAGATTGTCTCAGTACCACCAGGTCCGCATCAGTTACAAACAGTCAACAAACCGTAACCAAATAAAATTGTAAAAGATATGTATTTAACTGATTTAAAATTATTTTCGAGTATGAGCAGGGACAAGAAGCTTTTATTATTAAGGGTAGATTACTTGCGAATATCGAATTTCGGAAAAATATTGGAGCTAGTAATTTTATTGTAGATGTTATTTCTGTAGGTTATAAAATTCCGTTAATAATAACGCCTTCCGCTATTTACATTAAGAATAATGTCTCTATAATTTGCTCTATTGAATAAGGATTTTGTGTCAGAAGCAATTCATGATCTTGAGATTAAAGGGTTAATCGAAAGATGTGTAACTGAGTCCTTGGTTACGAATCTGAATTTTTATTTTGTGATTTAAGAAAATGTAAAACAGGTTCTAGACTAAGAAATACTGGCAAACCATTGAGATATGATCGTATGAGAGAATTGTTCATTAGGGCTTTTTCATATTTTTATTTTTTATTTTTAGAAAATATTTCTAAATCTGGTTTACATAGCCTCCTCAGGTGGAGCTACAGCGATCTGAATAGGCTAACGACGCCTATGTCAAAGACTACTTGCAGAAGTGTCTTTCTCTTTCTTTAGGGTTAGGTCTTTGAGTAATCTGTATTTTGTTATTTTTTTCTTTTTGTTTTTCCCATTCTTTACGTTCAGCCGGTCGGTGTCGATGCTCATACCCATGTATTTGTTTCACTGTCGAGGACGGGGAGGTATGCACAAGAGAAATATTATTCGTGTCGTTTGACCAAAAGGGAATAAGACACGAGTTATACTTTCTCTTGTTCTCGAGTCCTGGTTAGTAACAAATAGATTGTGTTATATCATTCAGTACATCGATTAAATTTCTAATGTATATGATTTATACTGTAGTGGCTGAGTGTACATCAGTTAAATTTTTTATGGTATTTATTTATAAGGTGTCATTGTTAAATACAATAAAGGGGCGGTCACTGTCGATGCTCATACGCATGTATTTCTTTCACTGTCCAGGACGGGAAGGTGTCCACAAGAGAAATCGTTTTTTTCTCGGCCACTCGATATATACACATTCAACCAACCAAACATGCAATTCGTGATAATAGCCTCCTTTTTGGTGAGTTTTTCTACGTTTTTGTAATACCAAGAAAAATAAAGAAACAATTGCGCAAGACATGGAAAAACTTGCTGAATTTAAATCGAATTGTTGTTTTTAGTCAACTTTGAAGTAACTTTAGTTTGGGATTTCCTGTGTCCTTGCCCTTGTTAATAAGACTCGTTACACATGAGTCATATAACTCATTGGTTACATTGAAAGTCGGCTGTCAGTATGTTTAGCCCACGCAGGCGCTATTTTGCCCAAAAACCATTTCATTCTGCCTGTGATTTTCTATTTGAACATCAATATCAAAAGAAATTTACTCACCGTCCGGAAGACAGATTCCAAAATGTCCATGTCCAGTCCCAGAATATGTGAAGGGTATCCTTGTGACATTCTTCATATTGGAAAGTCCAACAAATTTGTGGGAAATTTTATCCTCCCATTTAGCACTGTCTCTTTGTAAGTTTATTGTCAAGTTGTTATTTTCTACAACTGATTTTAAAACGACCATCTCTGCTCTGAAATATAAGATATCTTGCCAAGCAAAGTAATTTACGCCCACTGGCAGCTTTGATTTTGAACATAAATATTTAGCAGTACAGTAACAATCACCAGTATGAAATATTCAACCTTCAGTAATACACTTCTTTTGAGCTCTGATACTGAATAATATTGAGTATGAGTTATTGCCCTAGTTCTTGAAAACGTGTTCAATTTTTAGCTCGTGAAAACTCTAGAAGACAAATATTCAATCTTCAGCGCGGTAATGAATAATAAAACCAAGTTTTGTCAAAATCCAGCAAGAATAATGCCTTCTAGAGTTTTCAAGATCAAGGGCAATAACTCATACTAAATATTTTTTCGATTTTGCTGATTTTCAATAGGCTTTATCCATGGGTGATAACAAACACTCAAGCCGAATTTTGTTAAAATCCGTCCGTGCCTTCTAGAGTGTTTACAAGATAAAAATTGAACGCGTTTTCAAGAATAAGGGCAATAACTCATACTCATTATTTTTAGATTCTTCTGATTTTCAATAGGGTTCATCCTTGGGTGATAGCCAACACTCAAGCCAAATTTCGTTAAAATCCGTCAAGAATTGTCCCTTCTAGAGTGTTTACAAGCTAAAATTTGAACGCGTTTTCAAGAACAAGGGCAATCACTCATACTAAATAGTTTTCAATTCTTCTGATTTTCAATAGGGTTCATCCTTCGGTGATAACCAACACTCAAGCCAAATTTCGTTAAAATCCGTCAAGAATTGTCCCTTCTAGAGTGTTTACAAGCTAAAATTGAACGCGTTTTTAAGAACAAGGGCAATAACTCATACTAAATATTTTTCAATTTTAGTTTATCCTTGGGCGATTATGAACACTCATACCAAGTTTCATCAAAATCCGTAATGAATTGCACCTTCTAGAGTGTTTACGAGCGTTTCAAGAACAAGGGCAATAACTCATAGTAAATATTTTTCGATTAGTCTGATTTTCAATAGGGTTCATCTTTGGGTGATTATAAACAACCATACCAAGTTTTGTCGAAATCAGTCAAGAATTGTGAAAGCAAATTGTTTACGAGTAATTGTGGACGGACGGACGGACCGACCGACCGACCGAAAGCTAAATGTATGTGAATTAATTTTCAGTCAGTGGTTCCTTCGATTCCACAAAATATAAGTGTTTGATGACGTCACTTATGTGAAAAATATCATGCTTTATCACAAAAGGTCTTTCGCAAAGGTCTAACGTCATCGAACACTTAGTCTTAATGGAATTGCAGGAATCACTGACATATGGTGCAAATCGATCCTATCAGTGTCTCCCAATACGCAGGACTGTACTAAGCATGCAGATTCAACTTGCAATTGCATGTATACCCTGAGTTATAGGCTCATTTAGCATTTTATATGAGTTATATATTTTGAATGAGTTTAGTTTGAGATGATATAGTGTTCCTATGACGACTTTTAAATTGCTGTTTAACCGCACCCTACATAAAAAAGACAATGTCTTAAATTGGCCACCGTACAAAGAGCAAGAGAGATCAGCGCATAGTTGTATGCGAATTATATAGAATACACGTACTTATGTCAGTGTTTTTCATAAAAATTTGAGAACATTTTAAGTACATTAAAATGTACAGGTCGACCCGAATCTGTATGCTAGTTGAATGTGTATGTAGGCCTTAGCTAAGTTCAGCCCGGTCCCCGAAGCCATCATAACATAGCATAGCTATTAATAGCCCATTCTGTAGGCCCTACAGCACTTTAAGGCCGAAATGTCCAAGTACAAACAAAGCGCAAATTAGCGCAAATGACGGTAAAAAGCACAGAAAAAATGGATTTTATATAGATATATATATAATATCCATCGATACTAAGCTATCGGAGCCATATGTGCTTCAGCCAAAACGACATTGTGTTATAAAATTGATTGTAAATAGGTTTCCAGGCTACTTTTATGTATCGCTATATGTTCCTTTAGCAACGGTAAAATATTATTATTCACATCTATGATCATTATCATCGTATCGTTGCTAAAAGAACATGACTAATACTTTGCTGTAGTCATAGTCATAGAGTTATAGATAGAACTTATATATACAACTCTGGCTGTACTAAACTAGGCCTATTGCTGGGTATCGATAACCATGCCGTGATACGATACTTATCCCGATTCAAGGGTCACGATTCGATATGTATATAGTGACATTTGGTAATGGGATACAACAGTTTGTCTTCAAAGTTTCAATATTATTAATTCATTACTGTGATATTTGGTAATGGAGTTAATAGGAGTGGTTAATGTCCATAAATAGTCAAATAGTCAAGTGGAAACAATTTGTAATTGCAACGGGACAATGATAATGATCATCATATAGCCGTTACTCTCACAATCCCATATTCTCGTCATTAATTTTGATTGGTAAAGAGTTTACTTCTGTGCCAATTATATTCCTTCAAACAATTTTTTGCGAGAATAACCAGACACAAAATTTGAAATACCAAATTTACTTTCTTTCAAAGCTCAAGGTTCGCGGTTCGGTTGTCATAGTGCCAAACAGCTTTGATAGTTTCAGAGCAAGAATAAAAAAATCAACAATTTTTACGACTCATCGAATAATAGGCCTATTCACATTAATTTTATTCCAAATGACTTGCGAATCAAGGCATGTACGACTACACAAATGAGTTATTAACTTATAATGGATGAAAGTGTTAGAAATTTCTAAATTTTCCGCTGGCCTACGTTTTAAGAACCTTTCTGTCAAGTTCCACATCGATCACTGATCGACAAGCGGGTTGGTGCCAATCTGCAACAGTTTCCGATGATTGAATGAAGGCCGCAATTTTCAATCGCAGTCCTATACTCCAAATATTACCAGATAAATTCCTGCTTGGACGGTTATTAGTCTCTAATGACGAGAATGTGGGATTGTTCGGGCAACGGTCAGGTGATCATTATCATCGTACCGTTGCAAAAGAAAGATCATTCTCATCGTACAGTTGCTAAAGGAACATGGCCAGCACTATACTACACCAATTAATCCAGGGCAAATGACAACGAATGGGTAGTGCCATGCAATGTAACATCGGGAAGGGCATTTTCTGCAGAATGAAGCAAATAATAACAAATTAATCTTACTTTAAATAGAAAATTGCCACTAATTATGCTATATAATGCACGACAAACCTAGACAGGTTTTCCCAATAATCTAAATATAGACCTTTCTATATTAAAACATCTAACCACTAAAACATTTTAAAAGCAAAATGATTGTATTCGTAGTCTAGGCTACTTTTAGGTTTTGCATGCCTGTTTGGGAGTAATTTTTGGTCTAGATTTGGAATTTGGTGTCTGAAATTGCATTATATATCTTTATGAATTGATGAGATAAATCAGAGACCTTAACTCGCTAAAAGGCAGTGTATAACCGGTAGTAGTCCATGGTCATCATAATTATATTGAATTTTTTTAGGAGACATTGAGGATTGGTCAGGCTTTCATTCGACACATTGGAAAGCTTTCAACGAGATTTCTGGAAAAAGTTGTAGAAGGTTGAATTTCGTGTTTTAACATGGGAAGAGATGACAAATGAATAAAATTAGCAATCGTACTACACTATTTAGGCTAGGGCAAATGGCCACGAAATGACAATGCCATGCAATGGATCATTGGGAAGGAAAAATACCGCAGAATGAAGCAAATAATTTATAACAAATTAATCTTACTTTAAATAGGGAATTGCCACTAATTATGTTATAATTTTATTCAAACTCCAAACTCGACAGTCAATCTCTGGAAATCCCAGTCTTACATCATATCAGAGGGAGCTAACCACATTTTATTAAGAAACCACATTAAATTTTTGCACGCTAAAAAAATCGTGAAATAGTTATCCACCAGTGCAAAACAAGCAAGTACAGTGGTGTAATCTATTTTCGTGCATATCAGGATTTAGTTACATCGAATTTCGTCAAAGTTGAATATAACGGAAATTTTTTTTTATGTTTTAGAAGTTTCCTCAAAATGCTCAGATATTCTATGAAATAACTAAAAGTGGTTTTATTTCGATTTTCTTTATGAATTCCTCACTTTGACCAATATTTCATGAGTAACCATATCGATAATGGCTGTCACCTATTTTCATTCTACTAGCTGACATTGTACAGATAGCCCATGTTCACCAAAACAAGCAAATGCGGAGGTCACGCGAGGTCGCACATTTAAATTATTAATCATTTTCGAAGATGCACGAAAAACTGGTTAGCGCGACTGTACTAACTGAGGCACTGTTGATACCTTTTCAATATCGGAGACAGGATATTGAATGAAATTTGTTTGGATGCAAGCTACTATTTCTGATGTTTCTTGAGGTTGGGGCTGTTTACCACGTCCTGAAACATTATTGGCTTGAGAAAGCACTTGAGAATCATATTTTTTTATTAGACTTGAAGACAGCACTCTGAAGGCATTATGTCCGAATACATAAAACATAGGAGGAGGTTATAAAATGTAGCGCTTAGAAAAAGCAAAAGTAAAAGCTTATAAAACTTAGTTTGGTATAGAGTGCTAAGGAAGAAGATACTAAAGGTGAATTCTGATAATTGAAACTAGCACAGTGAAAACATATTATTCTCAAAAAGATCTGCAACAGACAGATACTTCAATGATGTTCCAATACCTTGTACTGCGACAACCATCACTCTGCTCAATATTTTCTGGCAAAAATTTGTCCATATATCATTCTATTGAAAAGTCTGCCATTATTCCCAGCTGGTTTATATGATCCTTGAATACATTAGTATGTTCCCTGGGATACATGAACAAGAGGATAACTTTAAAATTTGAATGTTTCTTCCACTAAGAAAAATACAGGGTTTATATAGCCTATATAGTGGGACCAGCAATTTCATGATTCTTGAGCAAGATCTTTAATATCCAGCTTTAGCTTTTTCTTGGTTCTTATGGAAGCAAACTCTTGGATTTTATGAATGCAAAAGTAAGGAAAAGCTAAAAAAAAGTTAAATGAGTTTAGCCCAATGACAAACATGATTCTTTATTTGGATTAAAGTAAGAATTCTAGAAAAGAAACTATTTTGCGATACATTAAGACTTATTTTATTATTCAAATCCAATCAATAAATAAGAAAAAATATTAATTTGGGAGGGGACACGACCTAAAAATATTATAAATATAAATACAACAAATCTGCACGTGGAAATATTGCAATAGGCTGTGGGGAAAGAACCATAATAAAATATCAATCCAGAGCATCTTATTAAAGCTTAAAAAACCAAAATATGATGTGAAATTTGTCAAACTAGATCTTCTTTGAAATACAACATGTTGCAAATATCTCCTTATATTTTACATTTAATATAATAGAATTCAGTGAAAATTTTATAGATCATTTTTTTTTTGTGTATTTCCATTCATCAAGTTTCATCAAGTTTATTTAATCCACAACCTTGACTGATTGTACATGAGGTGTTATAGTGATTGTTCCAGTCTGTCCTGCAAGTCTTTTAAAAGGTTTGGCACCATCAGATCCTTTTGGAAATTTACTGGCTGTAGCTTGACCAATAGTTTGCTGAAAGAAAAATGAGAAACATAGTAAAACTGTTTATTAAAGAGAACATAAATAGTTAGATGAGGTCTTTCCTCAATGTAATCAAGGGGTTGAAAATTTAAATCAAAGTAGGTAGACTTTTCTCACTGTGGACTTCATTAGCCAAATTCTAACAAAATCAATTATTGAGTGGCAACAGGTGTATTGAAGACAGAAGTTGAGTGCCAAAGAACACAAACCCATGAATTATGTAAGAGATATTGAATACCTTATTGACTGGTGGATGTCTTTCAACAACAACTGAAGCCATTGGTGGTGCTACAGTGGTGGAACCCATACTAGCTGTTGAAGGTCTGGATTTTTGATTAGCAGAGGATGTAGTTTTGCTGGAAAATTTAGCACTATTTGACTTCTTACTACTAATACTTGTAACTCCAGCTGATTGCTTTGATATCTAGAACAAAAAAAGACAGTAATTTGTCAAATATAGAAACCAAATACAAAATACACTTAAGATTAATCCCAAAAGATAAACCTACCACAGATTTAGGGTGTGGGACAATGTGTGGTCTAGATTCTTGACTTGTTACTATTCTTGATGGTAGACTCTCACAGCACCCAAGGTAAACCTACCACAGATTTAGGGTGTGATACACTGTGTGATCTAGATCCTTGACTTGTTACTATTCTAGATGGTAGACTCTCACAGTACCCAAGGTAAACTTACCACAGATTTAGGGTGTGAGAAACTGGGTGATCTAGATCCTTGACTTGTTACTTTTCTAGATGGTAGACTCTCACAGCACCCAAGGTAAACTTACCACAGATTTAGGGTGTGGGACAATGTGTGGTCTAGATCCTTGACTTGTTACTATTCTAGATGGTAGACTCTCACAGTACCCAAGGTAAACTTACCACAGATTTAGGGTGTGAGAAACTGGGTGATCTAGATCCTTGACTTGTTACTATTCTAGATGGTCGACTCTCACAGCACCCAAGGTAAACCTACCACAGATTTAGGATGTGAGAAACTGGGTGATCTAGATCCTTGACTTGTTACTATTCTAGATGGTAGACTCTCACAGTACCCAAGGTAAACCTACCACAGATTTAGGGTGTGAGAAACGGGGTGATCTAGATCCTTGACTTGTTACTATTCTAGATGGTAGACTCTCACAGTACCCAAGCTAAACTTACCACAGATTTAGGGTGTGAGACACTGTGTGGTCTAGATCCTTGACTTGTTACTATTCTAGATGGTAGACTCTCTGTGGAATCACGAGGAATGGTTTTAGATGTACCATATTCTTTCTGTGGAAAATTGCCATCTAAATTATCACTATAGCCATCATTAGATTTCCCACTGGCACCTTATGAAAAGATCAACACATTGTTAGTCAAGTTGTCCCATAAAATAGTCCTTGTTCAAACAATTAGAGTCAAATATCAAATAAGGAATAAGTTAATTATATGACACCAAGAACTTTCAAAATAAAACATTCTAAATTAATCAAAAAAAGTCTTCAATATTTCACACCTGCATTTTGAATTAACAGGAGGCTCAAACTAATTTTCCTATTTACAAGCTAATACTATAGATCTGATATTACACCTGTCCTAGCTGTATGATGTAAGAGATGGAATGTTATCTTATGATCTATATAAAATTTTCATTGGCAACCCCTGTAAGTTTTTTCAGTTTAAATTTCATATTTTTCCCATCACCAAAAACCACAGAAGACTCTGTCAATTACAAAGATTTTCAGCAACTGATTCAGACGATGTTTTGGTTTAGCTGTACATAGACAAAGGGGGACTGGGGATAAAGGGTTTCTTTATGATAAGAGATTGATAAAGAAAACACTTTCAATAAAACTATACAGTTATGCCTACACCATCTTCACTATGTCAAGGTATATCTCTAAATGACATTTACAAGCAGATAGAACAATAAATAAATCTTATACTTTACATGCAAAAGCCAGCTTTCTTGCATCATGAAATGCAGCGATTTGATTGGATTATATGTTTGAGAATACAGTCAATCAGATATAATACAATATAATACGCAGTTTTGTAATATCTTGACATTGTGTAGATGGCAATGCGTAAGAAAACCATGGAGTTTAAGCCAGTAGATGACAGCAAATGGACATACCTCCAGATTGTTCTTCATCAGACCCATGAAACATGTTCATAGCTTCTAAATTAAGAGCACAGACACCTCTCATAAAAGCTTTCTTCATGGCCTCCTCATATTTATCTCTCTCTGAATGTAATATATCTATTTCATATCTTCTCCTTTCTAATTCCTCATTTAACTACAAATTAACAAGACAACTATGAAATTACAACAATAGAGTTCTATGCAATACTTCCAAGCTATCATATGACCTAGAATTGATTCATCAAATTATGTCTACAAGCCAAGGTATGAGGCATCACCAAAGCAACTTGAAAAATTTGGCTTTATTTCCATCAAATATGTATAAAACATGACCTCAAAAAGTCATCTGTATACAAGTTTTTTCCATAATAATTAGCCATTAGCTAAAGTTTGCAATATTTTTTAAGGTCTGAAATGCCTCACACGTAGAGAATCTGTATAGCCTAAAAAAAAACACTTACTGATCCTATCTTCATTTCATAATCATTAGTTAACTGCATACAGACTTCCTGGGCTTTAGCTTGACAAGCTCTCTCTATCTTACTTCTCCAGTTATTTTCCAACACTGAATGCCAGGCTGCCCATACCTTCTGTGCCAAATTCTTCTCATAATGACGCTTGGCTAAATTACTACAGAATGTCTGTAAATTTTAAAAAAAATAAAGCCCTGGTTTGCTTTGACTATTTTACTTATTTTTTTGCCTTTGGGTCTAAATATCACACCCGACTCACTTTATGTCTGACTATTCTAATCATCTCAAGGCCTTTGTTTTTTTTAATATTATTCTCATGGCACTCTTACACTGAGAAACTTTCAAACAATAGGTTTTATAGATTTGACATCCAGACATACCTCTCTCTTTACATCATTATGTCGAATTTTCCATTCACTAAACTGTTTCATCATATCTTTACGATCTTTCTGTTTCTGCATTGCATGGGTTAAATTAGAGATGACTTGATCTTTGCGTTCCATAGACTGTTCATATGTATGTAATAATTCTTTTAAACTATCTATCTCATTTATTAACTTATTTTTCTCAATAACATTTCTACAAAATATACAAATAACATACAATTACATAATGATTAATTATACAAATACATAATGCTTAATATTACTGGTACACAACTACATAATACTCTATTATACAAATAACGTACTATTACATAACGCAAAAAATACAAATTACATGATGCTTATGAATGCATATAACATCAATTACATAATGCTAACTTAAATAATGACATAAAATTATTTCAGTGAGATAAAATTACATAACACCTCATTATATAAATAAAATACTTTAATATAATAGATTCACTTATACAATGAACAAACAATTGCATAATACCTCATCAAACAAACAATATACAATAACATAATGTTGCTGTATTATACAAATAACAAACATAATACTTAATAATTAGTCCATAGTTCAAATGATAACAAATGCATTAAGTAACATGTCTTATTACATAACTGGCAATTAATGTGAAAGAGACAAAAACCCATTTTCATATTCCATGATAATCCAGGAATTTCAAGGACAACGGGAACCATGTACTTAAGAAAACCCTTTCCAATTTTTCATTATCTAATTTTTAACATACTCTAAGTTGTATTCTTACCTTTCTTGTTCTCTATGAAGTTCTTGTCTGGCATTTTCTACTATTTTAATCTTCACTTGACCAAATTCAGCCTTCAAACAATGTTATAAATATTTAAAGTATTACTAAATATATAGAAAAATTAGCAGTATCCAAATATATTTTATATCTATATCTGTCTTACTTCTCTGTTGATAAATGGAATTCTACTGATAGTATTTATTTGAACTCAAATATCAGCTTCAAAATACTATTAGTTCTAAGCTTTCTGAAATAAAATACTTTTGAAACGAATATTCCAGTTTACATGCAATTTACTTACAAAAAGTAAGGAGGTTAACCTGGCAATAAGCTTTATTATAAAATACTCACAAGGACATTTCTTTTTAAATCTAGACAACTTTGATCTAATATGTTCTCTATTACGGTAACATCAGTATCAACAGTAGCAGTATAAATAATATCATCACCAGCTTGTTCACACTCCATATTTAATGGTTCAAAACTACCCTGACTTGCTTTCTGCCATGTAAATTGTTTATTTCTAGAGTTTTGAAGCATATCGTCTAGAATAAGATAAAATAAAAACATTTATGTTTTTGTCCACAATTGGACACCCACAGGAGATGGAGATATGTTGTCTAGGTGCCAGTTCATTAAGTTGTAGCCCACAATCTTGGTTGTTGATGCTGGTTTGATGGACTAGAAGAACTCATTTCATTTCATTTTATGTTACATACTAATGCAATCCATAATCCACAATGTCCACGTTAACAAATTTGTAACTATCTAACTGTTGAACAAGTTGCTGGTTTCAAAACATATTGTATAGTGGGGCCCCTTTAGCACTGTTTCCAGTTTGTTAGCATAAATAATGATAACAATAAGTTGAAATTTCCTCATTATGAATGAAATGAACGACTGATGTATTAACTTGCTGAAAACATGAAAATACCATTGCTATTATGTGTTGGTGGATTTTGATTTCATTTCAATAAGGGTGGAATTCTCTATCAATGTGTTAAAACCAACTCATCCAATGAGTATTATCTAAATAGACAGCAAATGTTTTGATCGACAGCTTTGCTTTACTTAACTATAACTATAACTTAACATACCAGGTTTTTCTAAAGTATCACTACCAGAATTACAATTATAATTAGGTATAGGACTGTGACAAAAATCTGGTAGACTAGTTGGCTGAGGGTTGACAGATCTTGGCGTCAAGTTCTCATCTAAAACTTTTGAGTCTGAAACTTTAAATTCAATGGAACTATGCAAGAGGTTGGTTTCAAATTAAATGAGCCTAAACAAGTAACCAGATATACATTACAATCTTAAAGATATTTTACTAATCAGATACATTTTTGGGGTAAGATCCCTAAAATTTCATCTTGGGTAGCAATCCAGATATACCAGTATGTCTTTATTTAAAAAAAGTATCTACATGACATCTTCTTCAAAAACATATCATAAGTTAATAATATGTAATTGAAGGTATCGTAAAATTTCTTACATGCTGTTGGTGTTGGATTTGAAGTTGTTTCTCTAGTAACTGACACTGGTGGTAAAGATGTTACTGTTTTGGTACCAGAAGAGGATGAATCAAACTTGGGAGCAACAACAGCATATTTTAATAACTCTTCATATTCTTCCTAGAATTAAAGTTCACTTTTAAATCTTTAGTGAAATTGTTGTCCAAAATTTTTTAGTACAGTTCAATTTTGACAATAAGCATGGCATATCACATTCAGAACTAACATCTGAACAAAAATGTCTCATTCATTGGCTTTCAATACTTCTAGATGAGACAAAGTAAACGAACAATATAAATTTATTTTGATATAATACAGGTATAACGCCTTACATGTCCTGGAAAAGGTACTGCAATAATAAACAGCATGGGAAATATGCATAAAGAAAAACATTGAAATTGTAATAAATATCCTTGGACCTACATACAGTACCGGTAGCATAAAGTATCATTGGTACTGAAACTATGACCTACCTGTAATCTTGAAGAAACTGAGCTGCCAGGAGAATCAGGGGGAATATCAGGAATGCTAGCAGTAGAACAAATATCACTAGACATATTTGACCTTTAACTTAAAATCTGCTAATTGTTGCCTTTGTTAAGTTACCGGTATCTATGAAATATGAAATAAGCTTACACTATTGTAATTGTTCCCATTCGTTAAAATTATATAGATATATTTTTGCTCATTAGGTCCTGATGTATGAACTTTTACCACTTCAATGATTTTACCTGGATGAAATGTAAGCTTAGATTTGGAAACACCAAAAGCACACAATAAAAACTTTCGACCGACTCTGAGTGGAATCAAAATTGAAAATCCAAGTGGGCAGATAAATAAATGAAATGAATGGAGTTTTACGTCCTACTTTTCTGCACCATATAGGCTAATAAAGACGCGTAACGACATGCAGGGTTGCAGGGTGCTATGAGGGAAATTTTGCCAGGACAGCAACATAGGCATTAGCCTGGTCTTCAGCAATGATGCTTAAGTAGTCTAAGCATTTGTAGTATTAGATCTTAGTATATTTGATTGAATTTCAATATTTTTTGAGCAACATTTATCTTCAACAAAGCAAAAGACAAAGTAAATGATCATTGTTGATTGATACTATGATAATAGAGTGGCAAGCTTGAACATGTCTGTTCATTTTTTTTAAATTTAACCATACAATAAATAAGATACTTAAAAAATAAATTACTAGATATCTGACTCCTGGGTTTCTGTCCTTCAAATCTTTTGCCAGGTTAAATTCAAACGAATGTTAAAAAAATTTGATAATGTCTTCAAAATTTAAATTTTTTGTATCTTGACAGCCATCTTGGTAAACAACGGCTACGCACACAATATAATATACGTAAAAATAAAATCTCAATTGATTTGAAAAATACATTTTATCACAGAACTGTATAGGCCTACTGATGATTTGATTAATCATTATTTTGATGGTGTATTCATCTGAAAATTTCGATAATATGTATTCGAAAATAATATGTCCGTGCGGGCTTTTTTAATCCTACATGTTTCATGTGCAGATAGAAAATAATCAAGACATCTCGACCCAGCTTTTTATAGGAAGCGATGTTTCGACCAATAGAGTCTATTCGTCATTTAATACAAAAATAGTAGTTATAGAAAATCCATTAGCTAGAATCTTTGATTGCACTTACAAACATCATGATCTTTATTTTTCTTTGATTTATCTGTGATTTTGTGGTCTTATAGACTTTTCTGTGGTTTAAATAGTAAAATTAACTAGTGTCTTAGAGATAAGTAGGCTACATACGTTTCCTCATGACATTTTTATTTAGTGTGGTCTTGTCAATTCAAAAAAGAGTTAGTAGCTTGAAATATTTCTAGTTAAAATAGAATAACAAGTAAATATTGCACAGTATTTAATGTTACATTTTTTCAACAAATATAACAATTAATAAAGACATGAATTTATTATCATATATATTAAACAATTACTACAATCTAAAACAACAATATCTAAAAGTGCTTCAATATAGTTACATTTAAACTGGTCAAATACATAATTTATGTATATCAAAGGATTATTCCATGTATATCTAACTGTGACTCTCATAACTTCTATGTGGTTCCTGTATTTACAGAAAAATGTGATCAGATTATGACGTCACCATTGGAATACCATTGGTATAATAATATCAGCACAATAGGAATTCATAAAAAGACAATCTATGAAAAATATATAAACACTAAGATGGTACAATTCTGCCTCAAAAAGAAGAAAAAATTCTTAATAAATTCTAATTAATAAACTTCTTTAATCAAGCTGAACAGTTCTATAGTTTATCTGAACCTTCATTCATATACCTGCAGGTTTATCTAACATTCTGACATTCCCACAGGTTTATCTGAATCTTCCCTACATCCCACTGGTTAATCTGAATCTTCTTAACATTTCAACACGATTTTTTGAATCTTCCCAAAATCCCTGAGGTGAACCTGAATCATAACTATATCCAACTAGTTCATCAAAATCATAACTAAATTTCAACAATTTATCGCAATCATAACTATATTAACACAGGTTTATCCGAATCTTCCCCATATCCCACTAGTTTATCTGAACCTTCACTAAATCCAACTAATTTATCTGAATATTTACTAAATTTCAACGGTTTATCTGAATCATAACTAAATTCACACAGGTTTATCTTAATCTCCCCCGTTTCCCACTAGTTTATTGGAATCTTCAATAAATCCATCTAGTTTACCTGAATCTTTACTATACATATTTCAACAGTTTATTTGATTTTTTTTACAAAATCTCAACAGTTTATCTGAATTATAACTAAATTTACACAGGTTTTTGTGAATCTTCACTAAATCCCACTAGTTTATTTGAATCTTATCTGAATCTTCACTAGATCCAACTACTTTATCTGAATTCTCACCAAAATTAGACGGTTTATCACTACATTCCTGCAGGTTTTTCTGAATCTTCTTTGTCTTCTTCATCTTCCACTTCATCTTTTTCATGCACCAATAATTCTACAATTTAATAGATTCACATCATTAGCAGATCTCTATGGCAAAGGTCTCTACTATAAACTTCTAGCACAAATTTCTTCATTTTGCAGAAAAGCAACAAAAGTTTCACAGCTGTCTACAAAATATCTTAATTTTTAACTTCCAAAATTGATAGAACTTATACTAGACTATGCATACTGTGATATCAGTAGAGCCAATTTTTGAAAACTTCAGAAAATTTAAATTCCAAAATACCATGAGTGATTTTTATTTTATTTTAAGGCAGATCAACTAAAAATGGTCTCAAAAACATTGAGAAAACAATTAGAGTAGTCCAATTACTAAGAACATATGAAAAATGAAATAAAATTGGAACATATCTTAAAATCCCAAGAAATTTTACCTTTGCCTATTTGTTCTAATATATTAGAGTTACATATTTCAAGATAATGTTCTTTCTTTATAGTCATAGGTTTCATATTCTTCTTAAATTCCTCAAATGGTACTAATGTCTTATTACAGCCTCTAATTTTTTGTTCCTGAAGATAGAAATTTGTTGTAACTGTCTCTTGCACTCTCATATCTAGCTATTTCAATTTCAATATCAACCAGTGCTGGCACAATATATCTATAGAAACATCATATCATATCAACAGGAAAGATTACATATTCAGTGTTGACAGACTTTCACATAGCCACAAAGTAAAGACACAAAGCCTATGTTGCAGCACATCAAAAATAAAGGTTGGACCAGACATATCAGGAATGGGTTTCTGGGAGAAATGTTTTTTTTTTTTGGACTGGTGAGTATCAGGCTAGTTTGTCATAGTGGTGTTTTAACAAGCGCATAATATTATCAAGCCATTCAGCAACGAGATATGGATCCATCAACAATAAACTTTCTACTGCATGTAGTTTAAGAACATTGTCATTTTAATTACATTTATATCTTTCGGTCAATTATTAACAATTATTAAACCAAGTTTTTGTTCTGAAAGTGGACTCCATCAAATATTTTGCTTAAAAACACAAAAGTCTGAAAATATTTTGCTATGACTAACCAATTCAAAGTGGAAACATTGTTAACTATAGTTTATAACCCAAATACAGTAAAATATTTTAAAACTCAAATGGTCATTACCTTTCCTAAATATAATACTCTAACCCAATATTTTCCCTTGTTATCTTGATACAGTTCAAACCTGACATCAGCAGCAAAAGGTGGCCATTGATGATCAAATATATCTAATGAACATAATAAAGCAACTAGTGTTGAATCATGAGTAGAATATAGGCAAATCTGTTCTTTACTGAAAGTTAAATTAATAAATAAAAAAATTTCACCAAAGATCTAATCAATCGAAAAAATTTCAATCTTAATCAGATGAAACTCTTTATATTGTAACAAAACATGTTAACAGCAGTTGGGTAAATAGATTGAAATTGCAAAATATGTTTAAATTATCAAGGGTATCCTCATCCTTTGAGACAAACACAAATGAAATTCATATAAAAAAGTTCATAAAAATCTTTGTCTTTTTACCTCTTTCCATTTATGACATCTTCCATTTTATCAACATTCATGGTGACTGGTAAACCAACAGTTAATCTTAAAGCTGTATCTCTTTCACAACTAAAATACATAATAAAACTTGTAGTTATTTAAATCTAATTGTAGAAGAACCTGATACCAGATATTTTTGAATTTCAATCAGTAAAATCAATTGCTGTGCTTCTGGCAGTTCAAACTCATATCAACAATCCTGTTAAAAGAATATGCAATGGAATCCAACTTACTCTCTCTGTCCACTAAAAGCATGATACATTATTTTAATAGCATTTTTCTCTATAATATCCATATGAGGTTGGACACTAGGTGGTATTTGATAGCCATGTACCTACAAATACAAAAACAAAGGGAAGAATAGCTGTATTCAATTTAAAGCACAACAGAAAATGTTCATGAAAGAGACAGTGCCAGCTGATTTAAATAAAAATAATTTAAAATATTCTAAACAATTAACTGAACATCATGTGATTTTCCCCCTTAAAAATAACAAACATAAAAGCTTGAAATGCTAATTCTTGTGATACCCCATGTGATATTTCTATTCCTATAACATCTTGTTTGGTTTCGCACTGTCACTTATCTGATTAGTGTCGAGACAAAATCCACCTCTGGAAGTAGACATTTCTATCTGGATAACTTCTGGTTAAACAAGTTTATTTGCCAGTGCAAAAGCAACTTGAAGTTATTCAAATAGAAATCTGCAGTTCAAAAGTGACAAATTCTATCTGTTAACAGTACATACCTCTCTAGCTATCAAATCATCTCGTATATGTATGAAATTTAATTTTCTAAACCCTTTACTGTGTTGTATATCTGAAGTAAATCAAAAAAATGACTCACCAGGCAAAATAACACATAAAATGGCTTAAGAAATTTAGTTGGCCAGACATGATAATTGATAACATACACTAACACAATAGCTTTCAGATCAGTAAATAAAAGAGTGTGTCTATCATATGTATGTTTGACAATATTCGCAACTTTCCCTATTACATTATGATTTAAGCCAATTTTTTACTTAAACCATTCACCAGTCTATTGTTTCCTATTAGATTTACATCATAATAAATAATGAAGTTATTACCTAGAGCTTCTTCTATAAATTCTCTATCTTCAGCTATACCAGATATATCATCAAAATGTATCATTGCTGCATGGACAATCTTTCTGACCACAGGACAGTTTTGACCATTAGGAAATAAGATTTCTTCCATATCATCACTAACTGGGATACTGATAGGACCTGTTAATATTCCAATTCAACAAGATTATTCACAATCTGATCAAAAACTATCTGGCTTTTTCCATTAGCAAGCATAATTTGATATGCACAGTCTGTAGCACACAGGATCTTGTCTAACTAACTGCATGACTAGGTAATTTTTCATTTCAGTCCTTCCATACCTCCATCTCTGACCTGGCCTTGCTAAATGGTCTCAACTGTTACCTGAATTGAACAGGGATTCCTAAGAAAGCAACCAAGGCGCAATTCTCTGAGCAGCTCTGACTCCTTAAGTTCAGTTTAGTTTTATTTTCAACACATCAAAAATTTTAAGAAAAGGAAAAAAAAAACAACATGCCTTTAGAGTTAAGCTCTTGAGCACCAAAAAGACCAGCTAATACACATCTTAATGAAGCTATAGTACGATCTATATTGGTAGACTGCATACTGAATATAACAACATAATAATTTGCTAATTTAAATTTACAAGCCTACACTATTAATAATTTTAAGCATACACTTTCAGCTACCTCTGGGTTTCAATCAAATTTCAGTAACATTTTCATGTTTGAATATAATGCATGCATTTGTTTTATTGGTCAATCAGCCTGATGTTAGAATTTAAACTACATGAATGACATAGCACTTATTCAATTTCATGATAGAGACTTGGAGTCATTTGAGCTTTACAATGTCAGCAACACAAATTCCCCTAAAATAATTTGGTTTGTAGAGGCTCGAGTAAACAAGGGTAGCATAAAAGGATCATTCCCTATATTTTCTTCCAATTGTCTGTGAACTAAAGATATTATAACCTTGACATTGATCTACCCCAATTTCTGATTGGCCAACTTGATTGATGACATGGCAGCTTCAAGGTACTGAATAGTCTAAAGTGACAGTAAAATGATGTTCCAGTAGTATCATAGGCATATTGGACTGACAAAGTACTTTATGGATCATGATGTTACTTACTAAACTTGTTGTGGTTTAAATTGTCTATCTAAAAATGATCTATAATCTCTCCGTAAAGATTGACCCAATGAAAACATTTGATCTTGTCCTGTAGTAGTTAAACTACCTAATACTGCTCCACCCTAAAAATTATAAGAGGAAAGGATCATTATTAATCCTACATTGATTTGCAAATGGTGTACTAGTCTAATCTGGAGAACAGTCGGATAGACCCAGCTGTAAATGGAAATGGATAATCTCCAGTTGGCAGAAAGGATCCTCAGGAACCTAGGTACTGGTAGTTGTTTTCCTTGTATAATTCATCATAAACCTTAGTCAACATTTGTGTTAAAATGTCTGACAACAAGAAATTGTGATATACCAGTACTACATGTTAGCTATAGATTTAAAATATAGATCAAATCACTCACCTTCAATTTTGGTTTGCTCTCATAGCTTCTTTGAATTCTAGAAATAGGTCTGGATTTATTATCCTTGCCAACTAATGATACCTTATAGTCAAATAAAGTATGTTGTAAATCTCTTAACAGACTAGCATCATATGTTACCTAAAGAAAAACATTGTTATCAATGATGGGTTGAAAACCATGACATCCATAGACTAAGAATGTCTTTGAGTGCCCAATAAAAATTGAAATTTCAGTCTGAAACTTTGATTTCTTAGAGGAAAGAGTTTTATCATTGAAAATCATCCTTTGTCCTCACAATAACCATATGGAAATTAAACTTGAATATTTGTAATATGACATTCAAACTCACTCAATGGACGTGAAAGAGGAGGCAAAATGTCATGAAACAATATATAATAATATATTCATGTCAAACATGTACAGTTCTACTGACCTCACCAAGAACAGGAATAATGTGAATTGGAGTTCTAGCACCATGTCTAAAATATACTTGAACGTGTTTTAGTTGCATATTGGATAGAGGATCAATTTGCCCACTCCTTGCAACCTCTTCACCTTCCGATTCAGCTAACAAATACAAGTCTTTTCTTCCGACAGAAAAAGTTGCAACTGTTGCACCTATACCACTAGACACTTTTAAAAATCTTGTCCAACTCATGACGACTGATGCCGCGCGTTAATTTAATTCTTATGAACAATTTTATAGCCTGTGAGACTGAATAAGTAAAGAAGGTTTTGAAGAAATAATGACAAAATCGTGTTGACAATAAGCACACGAATCTTATCTCACCGGTACATCAGTTGAAGAGTTCGTTTATAAGAGCAATAACTCTCGTTTCAAGGACTCCATACCCAAGCTGAATAATAACCAATAAATACCAAGTTTTACCTTATCAAATGAAACCACTCCATCGCTCAAAACTCATTTGTCATAAAGGGCTAGAACTAAGAAAGAAAATCGTGAAAACAGAATTTCTTGGAGGTGTCATACGGGTTCAATTTAAGCGGTATCGTATAGTTTGCAAGTAAAAATGATAAGCAGTCAGATACGATAGTTTTTAAAAGCATACTGTTTTAGGCACAGCGTCATTAGGCACAACTTAATTAAGGCCCAAAAGAATCAAGAATAAAAAGCGAAAAAAAAAACAAAATTAAAAATTAAAAAAACCCCGTAGAATAGGAAAAATGACAGGAAGGTACAGGAAGAAATCCTACTATTTTCTATTTTACACTGTGCCTAGGATAACATAATGATGTGCAGAAATTAACACCCGGATATTGTACTTCAAGTTATCATTTAAGATTAAGCTTTCTGATAAAAATGCTATCATATAGTCTATATATTTATATCTATATATAACCTACATGATCATAAACTATCTCCTTGAAAATCAATAGAAGCCTGTGTTGAATCTGCACAAGAAGACGCTCAAGGCCGACGACAAATCTAAAACTTCAAATTGTGCCGCATCTCTACCGAGACCGGGCACGCAGTGGCGTTTTTATGAATCAGCGACCAAGCGACCAAGTAGGAACAAGAATTGTTAAGGGGCTAGAGGGCTCACAGCACAACAAGTTGATAGGGTTTTTGAAATTGGTGGGGAGAGCATGACCAGGCCCCAAAAAAAGACCAGAAAGTCTTGTTCTGCCGTGTGATCATTTTGAGTATTTGTATAGGTATATCACAATGCATTGATAACGATTTCACAGTGTACTTTGAATCTATTACCTTAGTGCCGTTATCTTATATAGTTATTAAGCTTATCGGTAATAATCCCCAAGTGTTATGATACGCTATATTGATGTTCGTTGCACTCAGTCGCCTTCATAATCTCAACTGTGAATGAATCCCAAGAGTTTCATACAGTAAACAAAATGTTTCAATATTTAATTTCCGATTGGCCTAGTAACCTTTTCACTGTGTAGCAGGAAATCTGTTTCCGTGCAACTTCACATTCAAACGACAAGAAACATAGTATGTTGAAAGACTAATTTCCAATTCTTGGGATACTGCAAGAGAATTTTGTGTATAAAAATATGTCTTGATCAGTGTGAAGAGAATGTTTTTAGATGGAGTGTACGGGTAGTTAACATTATGGATAACCAGATCTTCAAATTCGTAATATTATGGATTATTTTATTACGTTTGGGTAAGGAATTAAATTTTTGTGTGAAAAAGTTGATGATATTCCTTGAGCAATATTAAGATAATTATATTGTTTTCAGGCTTATTTTAATTTACAATTCATAATGAAGATTGCATTTGGAACTCCCACATCAAATAGGGAGCTGTGATGACAAAGGGTACGAAAAGCCTGCTCTCTAATCTGGTGCTTTGGGCTCGAACAAGATGAACTGGAGGAGCTGATGTGGTAAATTTTTAACAAAATATGTCAATTTTCTGGCAAAATTCTTTTCTCACACCACAAACTATGCGCAGACATAACTAGACGCAGACATAACTATAGACACATAAAAAATACGACGTAAAACCGCAGTAAATGATATTTTCTAATCTTCATTGCACCAAAGAAACATTCAGAATGAAAATGCAACAGTGATCTGAAAATATATACTCACTCTGAGAATAGAGAAAAAATTAATAAAATAGATTATTTACTATTCCCCTGACAGTCCGGAAATTTCATATTAAAAACACTTAGATAAACATTGTTTTTTATTACAAATTGTAACAAAAAAACATATCAATATTCTTTTAAAAAAAATGTGTGATTTTAAACGGAATTTTTCTGCCCCGGGATCGCAAAAAGTATAAACGTGCTCTTGTTGGTTTCAGTCAGGACAAAATTGTGAATGTTAGTGCAATCTGACGTAGCGAAAACTAAATTGAGATTTTGAGATCGCAGATAGGTCTACTTAAAGGATTAAAAGACATTTCTCTTTGAATCAGATGTGTGTATCATTAAAACGGTATCAAAGACTAGGTTTAGAAAATCAAAAGGCATTAGCTCCTTTGAAGTGTAATATTTAAACCTTTTAATGTTAAAATATTGGATTAAAGATGTGAAGTAACTGGTGTATATAAACCTACCGAACAGAAAAATATCTTAAAGGCCCTTTTCATGAGTTGATTTCGGTCTTGAATACATATAAATAGTTTTCAGAACAAGATCTACACGAAAATCGAATAATGTCTTCCAATTTCAAACTCGAAATTTCACTTTCTTTTTCCATGGATTTCTTTTCTATATGGAGTAGCAAGAACGACAAGTCGTCTTTTTAAATTTCAAATGCGGATAATTCTGGACACACATGGATCAATTGCGAACTCGTCCCTTTAAGTACAAGAATTGCGTCTGATTATTTCCTTTTATAAATCTAAATTGAAAAACAAACTTCAAATACTGTTTTAAGTCTGATCTACCATATGCAAAAGTTCTTAATTGGGCCTTTGATTTTTTTTTCTTTTTTACGTAAGGGTGTCTTAAAGGACCATTTTACACAACAAAGCAAAAGGCACGCGCGTTTATTCTGTAATTAAGAATATTAGAAGATGTAAAAAAAAAAGAAAACAAAAACAAAACAGCCTGTACTTCAGTCGATATATGTGAAAGATATATATAATACATTACAATGGAGGAATTAAAGTTTTGTGTCTAAAAGTTTAATAGAACCAAGTGAGGCACCTTTTACAAATTCAATAAGTTGACTAGTCGATCTTCATACCTTTATTTTGAACTGGTTTAATCCAAATCCATGGCAAATACCCAAAATTGCGTAAGTGTCATGTGGAACTGAAAAAGAAACTAAAACTACGCCCTTGCTTGTCTGTTTCTTCAATATGAAATTTCGTCTATTCCAGGGAATACGAAATTACTGAAACCTCGTCGACTAAATACAATAGTGGTATCATCAACTTCTATCCAATGTATGTGGCATTATCCTAAAAACCAACTGACCAAGAATATTATATTCAAAGTGAAATATGCAGAAGTTGGAACCAAGAACAAGAAATCCAAAACTGTGAATACTGATGAGACTTCAGTGATCATTGGTAACCTTGAACATTATACAACTTATGAATTTAATGTTCGTGCTCAAGAAGGTCGTGGTAGAGGCCGAACTGGTCCTTGGAGCTCAACCACGACAAACAGAACACTGAAAAGAGGTAAATATGCTCTGTTAGATACATCTAAAACCAGTCTCTGAGGTATTATTAAGGACTGACATTTTAGTCTGAATTCTATGAGACAATACAACAACAACGAATCACTGAAATAATAGGTTTATAAGCCTAAGGAAAGTATAAAGCTCCATTTCATCTTAATTTCAGTATCTGGCATCGTGTCGAATTTTCAAGCATTTCCTTTAAGTTCAACATCAATAAAGCTGACATGGAAACGTCCGCCTGAGAGAAATAGAACTTCTGGTTTCTTTGTGTTGTGGTCGGAACTGGACAGAAATCAAAATGAGAACAAGGTAGCAGTGTCCAGACAAGCCAATAGTTCATTATTTTTGGATTTGATTCCATACCAGTCTTATAGTTTTAGAGTGGTCACTCTCAAGGCTAATGGGGTTGAAAAGAGTACGGACAGAATCATAGCTAGGACCTATGCTGATCGTCCTGGACAGTCTCCTAGAAATGTTTCGTTATCGCTGTTATCAAATTCAGTAAGTACAATAAATTTACTTGATATTTTTCTGAGAAACGCCTAAACATTCCATTTGAACATCAAAGAAAGAAAGCAGTGTTGTAGCTAAATTAGGATCTCAATAAGAGCCCATTGTACTTGCTGTTGCCCAATTTTACAATCTGGTCCAGAGATCATAAATTACTATTTTATTCAGGTATTACGAGTAAAATGGATTCCACCACCAATAAGAAAACGACATGGTATGATAGAGTCGTATAAATTGCAATACAGACGTAAAGGTGCACGCCGAGGTGATATTTGTACTGTTACACTATCAGAAAGACCAAGAAGATACAACCTTACAGGTACATTGAACACGAAGATCTCTCCCCAACCCCTCTCTTGGGGATTGGAAGACAGCCTATGTTATACGCTTTAATAACATCGAGTCATGTCAATGTTGCTTATCCAGCTTACCCCTATTATCAACAGCGCTTTTCGGAATTTCAATACGAAGTACCGCTCTGCTTACATAAAGTTTAAACTGTCACATGCCGTTGTTGACTGTAATACTTCAGGGTGCTAAACATGATTACAGATGCAGTTAAAACAGGAACTAGTTTGCATGCCCTTGAACAATTTTAACACATTTCTGAAGAATTCTTATTGAGCTATGTGGCGTTAACAAATTATCTTTTGTATTTCAGAACTACACAAGGGAGAAACATATCGTATTCGATTGGCAGCTAGAACCGCCAACGGTACAGGACCTTATTCTAAATGGGCATCAATAGACATTCCACAGAAAGGCAAAGGTATGTATTTGAATGAATACGTATGCTTACGTACCTTTCCTAATGGAAGTTATTTAACAAAAAAGTAAAACTTTCTGACCAATTTTATTGTTCTACCCTGGAATGGGTAGATTCACGAAGCATAATCGATTTACACTATGGGTTTTTGTACTAATAACGCATGAGATTTCACCAAATCTTTGGAGATTTAACTGTAGGTAGCCTTCATCATATTTTGTGTCGGGGAATATTACCATAACCAACCGGTA